TGTCACAAACAGTATGGCCTTCTGAGCTGTGCATGTGCTGTCTCTGTGTGCTCAGGCTTTGCAGCGCACTCCCTTCTGTGCTGTGGCCAGCAATTGCAGCTCTCCAGAGGCACGTAGGAGTCTCATTCCCAGGAATGCAATGACATGGATGGTTTCCTGCTGTCATATGCCTTCCCAGGGTGTGTTTTCAATTGTACGCACAGGGTGGGATCTATGCCCGTAGCTCACCTCGTGCTTCCCAAGGTGCCTTTCTTCCAAGAGGAAGACTGTTGGAGCTCTCAAACACAGCTCTGGAGCTAAATAATAATAGTGTAGGCGTTTGTCTTGGTGAGGTTAATCACTGGCTGGTTGGGATAGTGACTAGGTGCTGGGCCTAAATGCTAACAACTTGCTGAGAAATAGTGCTAAGTCCTGGTTGGGATAACTGAGGCTCTGAAGGAGCAGTCAGATCAAATAGAGCAGAGTCATAACATTCAAATTAATACATGTGTGTTGTGTTCTTCACACTTGCAACGTTTATGGTATATACTTGTGTACATCTAAATATATAAAAATACATTTATATATATTATTTACGAGTTTCTAAAGTACACATCTTCAGTAATGGAAAAGTCTGAGAGCAAAACTTATGACTGAAATCCAGCCACAAAGGCAATGTGTCTGACACTTAATTTTTTGCTGTTTATTAAGAAATAACACTTTTGTGTGTGTACAGACAACAGGATAAACCTATTATATTTCAGATCCTTCTGAAAGTTGGAAAATAGTTTAAATGCCTCAGTGTGTTCAAGTCCTTATTTATTTGCTGTCTCCTTCTCCCCAGTTGCTGTGTCTGACAGAAATGCTAGCAAAAACTGAGTAGAGTGGGGGGGGGAAGGTTATGGGATACTGAGGAATTCAAAATAAAAAGCTGTATAAATTTGAGAAGCACTTCTATGCTAGAAGGAGAAATGTCTCACAGCTTTGACTGTTCTCCTCTTTTTAATAGCTATTAATTCCTCATGAAATCTAGGATAGAGGTTTTCTGTCTTTTGAATGGCTTCTTTCCAGTTCTCTTTGTTTAGAGAAAAATATTATTCTTTTCAAAATACGCTTTCCTTCAATTGAAGTATTTCAGGAAGATTTTCAGCAGCGTGTAAGTTGCTTTCTTATTGATTTCCAATGCACTGTGTAACCTCATATCTGTTTACGTCTGAATTATATTTGTTTTCATTGTTCACTTAGAGCACAAGAGTACCTTCTGCCACTACCAGATGGAGAATCAGAGATACCTTGTATATTCTCTTACATTTGAAAATAATTTTGGAAAAGATGAACAGTGGAGGAACTAAAATATGCACACTAATTATGATGCTAAGAAAACCCACGTTTTCATGGGTTTTATTAATGGTTCTGTTCAATTATCCCCCTTTTTCTCTGCATAAGGAAGAATGAATTTTCTAGCTTTGGTAACTAGGCTTCCAGCTCCTGGAGCTGATGTCATTAATCAGCTGTCCAAGTAAGCACATCACAAAGAAGTGGTTTTAAAAGCCGTATTTGTGTTCTAGGCTGGTGAGACTAGGAGGTAAACTTAAGTGCGTGGTTTGTAATGCATAGAGCTTTAATGTGCCTGTGATAATACTGAGATCTTCAGTCTTAATGAGTTGTGTTAATTCTCAAAATAGATGTCCAAGAAAATTTACCAATGAAGCTAGTTGTCCCATCCACAATTCAGTTGACTTAATTGACTTAAAAGCATATAATAATCTAATAGATTTGCCACAGCCTTATTTAAAGATTTCCTTTTTGCTTTTTGGTCATTTACTAATACGTATAATGAGGAAACAGAGAAGTACTGAAAGATTTGCCAGAAAAGAGAGTAGCTTGGAGAAAGAAGACTTCAGGGAGAAAGTGAATCTGCAGAAACTCCTCCAGTCTGCTGTGACCGGTGACTTACAAGTCTGATTCAGCACACTATAGGTTCCACAGCTTGGAGCAGCTTGCTGTTTCACACCCCTTTATGTTGAGCATGCTTTGCTCTTTCTGCTAAATCATATGAGAACCCCTCATGATTCTCAGGTCCACACAATCTCACTACTCAAAAAAAAAAAAAAAAAAAAAAAAAAAAAAAAAAAAAAACCCACCACCAGCAAAAACATACAGAAGTAATGAGCAGACAGAAAAATAAGGGATGGGTCTATAAAATGTCTTCTAAGAGATTTTTTTCAATTAACACAACAAGACTTTGGAATGGATGCTTAGCAGAGGCTCCTGCTCAGGCAAGAAGTTTTCCTATGTTCTAGTTAATGAGCTATATATTTTTGCTTCACTGATAAATGACTGTTTTCCTATATATCTGCAGTCCAATTACTACAGGAAAATCATAACATTTAATGGCAAGGCTGCTATGCTAGTAAAATTTGTTTAACTCACTTGTCTGCATTCAACTGTTGAAATGAGACAAAGACCCCATTCACTCAGATTCCAGCAATATTACTGTTGCCACTTAAACATTATTTGAGAGTCCAGCTGGCCAGGGGTGCCAAGGAAAGATGAAGCTAGGGTGAAATCTGGCTGATCCAACCACACAGCAGTCACTGACTGATCTCCTGTTACTGGTCTTCAGGGATGTTGTGACAAGAGGGTGAGCATAGCAGTTGTTTTCTGGGGAGATGAAAGTGACAGTCTTTAACTATTAGTGGCAGAAATATGATCTCTTTGCTTTTACCTCCTATGTGTTATTTTACAGTAAGTCTTCCCAGACTTGAAAAGCAGAGTGCAGTTTAAAAATTAAATTATTATTAAAATGTTTTTGCTCTTGCAATTTATTTCCAAGAATAAAGGTTCAGGATAGAGGTGAGAATAATCTTTAATGACAAATGGATAGAAATGACATCAAGGTCTTCCCATCATTAAAAAATATCTGTTCAGCACTTAACTATAAATCTTCAGTGCTCCTAGGCTCTTTTTAGGAATTCAGCTCTTAATGCTATCTAAGCATTGGTGTTTTGCAATTCAGAAATATAGAAGTGTGGTTTAGAAATAAAGATGTCAAATGATTCTCAGTGGGGAGAAAAATGTACTTGGTCACTGAGAAACCATTACTGAACCATAGCAATACCAGATTGATGGTTTATATTCTGGTGATTTTTTTTTTGTTTGTTTGTTTGGTGCAAGGAATGCAGACTTTAAGTGTTCCACTAAAATGAGTGCACAGTGGAAAGCATATAACTTGCTGTCTGATAGAACATGATTTGGACAGGTGATTCCATTTTTACTTGTGTGTATGTATCAGAAGGATTGACACCATGAGGTCAAGCTAATGTTGAAAATGTTAAGAATATCTGTTACAATTGCAATTGCTCTGCTGGTGATTGAATCAGGGTGACAGCTTGAACAGAGCAGTAGCTGCTGAAGTTTTGCTTTGGTTTCTTACACTACTGTGTTTCAGATATTTATCGTCAAGTTTCAGTATGGCACTGGAATTCTCTTTGCTAATGTGCGTTACCTAATTGCTGTATCTGGAAAGTTCATAAACCTAGTACAGACACAGGAAGTTTTTCTATTAAAAAATACAGAGGTTGAGCATGTGTGGTTTCATGTGGGTTACAGTGAATGATGTTTTTTGAAGTTTATCCTGCAGGGGAATTTGCTGTTGTAATTGTGATTAATGCTAATCTAATGAATATAGAAGATACTTGGATTCTCCTAGGAACCAACAACTTAAAGAAAATTAAAACATCTTCCATGTGTTGTCCATGCACATGCAAAAGGTTGTATGGGAGGATTTTTGAATGCCTGTTCAAGCTGTAAAAGTCATTTCATTTCTCAGCATTCCTTTGCTCTAAATACTTATATACAATATAGTTTTAAAGAATATACTTGCTAGCTACTTGTTTGTTACCAGTAGTGGAAATTTACCTCAAATTCTTGAGATTTTCTATGCAGAATATTAAACTAAGCCAACTCTAGAAGAGATGTAACTATATGCTACTCTAAAAATCAACCATATCAATAAAACTCTAAAGTTGTCTGGAATAAATAACAACTTAAATCCAGCAACTATCTAAGTTAATGACATCTGTGCTTGTCAACGGTTTACGGGCTGCTTCGGCCCGGTTCCGTGATGAGCGGGGCGGAGGGATCCGCAGATCCACGCCTCTGGAAAAAAAGGAAACAGGAGACCCCAAAATAATTACATAATAAAATTATATAATTAAATAATAATAAATAATATAAAATATATATAATAATATAATAAATATAAAATATTTTATAAAATATATAAAATATAAATATAATAATATAAAAATATAATAAATAATAATAATAAAAATAATTATATAATTAAATAATAATAAAACAGCGGCACCGATCTGAGGAGAAACAAACTAATTTACTAAGTATATTATCGGAATGCAAGATAACACACTATAATACAATATAATCAGAATTGAAGCTAATAAATCAAATATAATGAGAGAGAGAATGTCTGAAAGGGTGCATAGGCCTCACCACAACGCTGAGATGAGATGCGCAGTCCAGTTGAGCAGCAGGGAGACGGGAGCAGTGTCCACGACGAAAGGCAGGCGAGAAAGAAAACTCAAGTGACCTTGCCAGGAGTTAAACCTCCTCTCCCTGACCGCAAGGTCCCCTGGGGAATGTAGTTCTTCTTCTCTTCAGGGCAGGTACCCAGGACTTGAGCATTAGCAGTTAAAGTCCCAGTGCCCCACATGATGTTATGATGTGGAATACCGAAAGCCAAAAATCACAAAACCATGACAGCTCTGGAGAACCATCAAAATGAGTATGTAGGTAATATCCATGTGCGTATCCAGTAATATCCATGTGTGTATCCAGTATTTCAGCACATGGAAATACTTATTCTGTATTAAAAAAAAACAACAAAAACCACCAAACAAAAAAAACCTCTTTCTTCTTAGTGTTGATTGCAACTTGATGGTGAATGACTTTAGATTCAGAGAGGCATCTAGATCAGAACAGTAATTACTGAATTCTCATTCCAGAGCCCTTTAACGAAGATGTCTGAAATTACGAACTATTTGAAGTAGCTGGATAGGGTGACTGGAAAACAAACTTGGAGTGAAAGAACATTATAGCTAATGAGGAAACACTGTATACTTGTAAGTGCCTATGGTCACCAGTTAGTATCTAGTCCTAAGTTTGTTTAGCATTTTCATTTCAGTAGCCTGTTTCAGATACTTTTGTGTCATGAATTCAGAGTCCAAACCAACTCGACTCAAAGCAAGACTTAAAGGGAAGCACTGATGTAGGTAACTGGAGAGGTGATGAATATTAGTTTTTTTGTGGTTTGCTTGATATTGTTTGGGAGAGGTCTGCTCTTCTAATTCCTTTATGTTGGAAATGTATAACTAGAGTGTGAATTACTTCAAGAACACATTTGTAATGCATAGGCTGAATTGCTGATTCCCCGATAAACATAATCGAGTTAAAACATCTTAAAATGAGCAAGGTAATGATACTACAAGAAGTGCATTGTCCATGTTGATGAACTGTCTTGAAAAGCTCCAAAAATAGTATTCAAGTTGACTATTGATAAAGCTAATTCTTAAAATCAGTTGCATGATATAGACAGAAAAACAGCTGTTGCAGTACCACCCTCTGTAGTGTAGGAAAAGACACCCTCTAATTCAGATCTTGCATTAGGGTCACATTCTTTCTTTTTTCCAAGTCCTCCCCAATGTTCTTCCAGATCTCATGCAAGCAAATGAAATAAACTTAAAGACTGGTAAAGTACAGAATTCCCCTAAGGATGCAGAAAAGACAAGAAAAGACAAGAAAAGACAAGAAAAGACAAGAAAAGACAAGAAAAGACAAGAAAAGACAAGAAAAGACAAGAAAAGACAAGGTTGAGGGGAGATGCTTTGGAACGCAATGCAGAGGGAGATTTTCTAGGAGAAGAGAATGGCAAGTTTTGATCACAGGGTAGGTATGAAACAGATTTAAAAAAAAAATAAAAAAAATAAAAAAATCACATCTTAAGTGATCCGAGAGGGAAAGACTTGCTTCAGTATGGAGGTACAGAATAGAACAGGTTTGCCTGTAATAAGCAGATAGTGTATTGTCAGAGTAGCTTGGCTATACATTATTTCATATCATTCGCTGTTCCCCCTAATAAATTAAATTAATGATGGTTTTGCTGACATAAGCCTTGCAGCCATAAAACTTGTGATCTACCCTTAATAGGCAGATGAGGGACTTGCAGGTAGCATGCAGCTCATCTCCATTTGTGACCTTGTGCCTAAACAGAGACCCGCTAAAAGGAGGAGGGGGGTTGGCACTCTGGGACTCTAATTCAACTTAATGCTTGAGCATGATTGAAGCTGTCTCCATAGGCAATAAAGTATGCACTACATAAGTTCTAGGAATAATGACACGATGTAAATTCATTTAATTTTAATTTTAAAAGCTTGCTCAGAGGTAGAATTACTAGAACCACTTCAGCTTTAGTGTGGTTCTTGGATCTGGCTTTTTTTTTTTTTTTTTTTTTTTTATTTTTTTTTACTTCTTGCCTCTCCAGGCAGCAGTTACTTAATTGCAAATACGGCTTTAAACATCTTATAAACTGGATATAGATTGTGTAATCACTCATAGCAGAAACCCTGTGAGTCACTGTACTGGTTTGTCTTTCTGCACTGTTACAAGCATGGTCTAAATATATATATAACCAGTGCAGTGTCCCCTCATCTATACAGTGTGCAGTCTAAATTTTGCCCGTACAATGGGTGTACATGGCAGCAAAAGATAAATGAAATGTGACTCATTGTCTTAGCAGGCATGTGCTTGCAGCCCATGTAATTACCTGTCTCCAACCAGGCTGAAAAAAGCTTGTAACCTCAGAGTGAACTCCAGCCCCAGACTTCCACACAACAAGCGGAAAAATGGCGTGCTCCAGCAGCAACTTAAAAGAGCAACACTGTGTTGCAGTGCCCTCACAAACTGATTTAAATCTGAAGGCAGGGACATGGGTTCTTAACTTTACTGATAATACAGTTTTCTACAGATTGTCTTAAAGGTTTCCTCTAGGCATTACGTGACACTATTATGCAATTTTAAAATAACACATTACAGTTTGCTATTAAAGGCGATAATGATCTTTGCTGCCTGGAAACAGCCATTCTTAGATCCTATAGTGCTATAATTATTGCTAATAATGCTGCATACTCCACTAGAAGAATTCTCCACTCACTCTGCTGTTTCTTTATTCTCGGCTTATATGAGTCCCTCTTCTACAGTGTTTTGATTCAGATGCCTTAAAATCTTTGTTACTAACTTTGCTTTGTTTTCTGGGGAAGATCTGTGTGCGTTTTCTTTGTCTATTGTGTTTCAGGGGTCATTGACCTTGACTAGTAACAAAAAAACCTAATCATTTTCACCCTATGGATGATCAAACCTTTCTACATATCAGACATCAAAAATGATGCCTCCTATTTATTTCCATGGAAACTACAACTGATAATAAGAGCTCAATAATGTTATTTGATAAAGCAAGTTCTCAGCTACAAAACATTGTTTTTCAACGTAGCCACCATGATTAGCAATACGTTTTCACCAGCCATGAACAATAACTCACTGTTTCATATCTGCTATGAAGGTGTCATTGCTGAAATTCACCACCTACTACGTCATTGTGCTCACAGCCACTGTTCGTCTCCATAAACATTCAGTAACCATTGATGAATGTGAATGGTACCATTTTTTCTTCATAGAAGTATTCAGTTCCTCACCTTTGCTTCATTCTGTCAGACGACCCCTCTGCTGCTATCTGTCACATGGCAACAACATGTAATTAAATATTGTTAGGAAGTTTCAGTCTCTACTGCCATAACATCAACATCTGCCTCTGATGCTGTGGGCCAACCTAATAAAATAGGAGGCATTACTTCCAGAGCAATTTTTTTTTTTTTTTTTAATTAATATTGCTATGAAGTATTTTTGTTGTTGTTGCAAACACTGATGGAATGCCATCAAGGACTGTTTAATTACCTGATTCTTACTAGGTTTTTAATAGAATATGTGCAGAAAAAATGTGGCATGGGTCTTACAGCAATCCTACACAAGCAGACTTTTTTTTTTCCCCACTAAATGTGAAATGCAATTGTGATTAGTTATTGTGATCTCCTGTATAGATGAGGGATGAGCTGTATGGTCCAAAGTTTTATGCCAAATAAATACTGAAAGTAAAAATAACTGCAGAAAATTCATGGGCCAGTGACAAGTAACAGCATACCCTATGTAGTGTGGAGCTGTGGGAATTTGATAACTCAACACCTACATGTTGGAGTTCATCTCTGTTCTGGAAACCAGTACTCATACGCTTGTGTTTTGTAAACATTCAAGGGGGCTGATATTTTACCACGAAGATAGTTTTCAGTGGTGGCATATAAACCTTTTTCTAAAGGAAAGACCAGGAGGCGGCTGCCTTTTAAATACAGGAGACTGTGTAGTAGGGAAATGTATGCGAATGTAATTCAATAGTTCTTTTCCTTACAGCACCAAGCCCTGATACAAATGCACTGCAGGGAGGTAAGAGGGTACTTTTAAAATGGAATCAATTAATCAAAATGCTGCTTTTCACTGGGATGTCATTGATGCAATGATAGGTCTTTGCTTAATGTATTCCAAATGTAAGATATTTTTTCTTACAATAGTAGTTACAGAATATAAAATCTGGTTTAGAGTAACTGCTGTTAATCTCCTAAACGAGAACACTGCATTCTGAGTAGGTTGGAAGGTGTTCAGTCCAATCTCACATTTAAATGTGAGCGAATGTTCCTACTCTGAATCATTAGCTTGCCTCTTGCCAGGAAATTGGTATAGTGGTATACTGGCTGCATCCTGGGAAGGCGGTCTTCACCTCTGGAAATGGAGAAGCAGTAATAAATAGTTGGGGCGGAGAGTGTTGTGTCTGTCACTCTGTGAATGCCAAGAACTAGCTCTTTTATTTTATTTTCATTAAAGGGTATTTGGAGATCTGCAAGTGTCTATATTCCCAATTTCATGAATGCAAATATCCTTTTCTTTTCTGAAATATTGGCCTGAGTAGTAAGCAACATATTGTTATCTGGTTTATCCTGATTTTCTTAATTAATCTTGTGGGTGTAATTGAAAAGATCTTTGAGCACAGTTAGTTTCTCGTAAAAGCAAGAAATACTTGTTTTTTTTGTTCAGAAATTAATATTTGTCCCTATTACTGAGGCCCACCAAGAATCAACATTGAGCTAGTCTTCTGTGCTATTGCCCCATTCTTTTTTTGTCCTGTCTCAATAGCCGTGAAGAGCAAGGACACCTATACCATTCCACAGCATGCATTTCATACAAGTGACTCAGCAGGGGATGTTCAATTTTCTTAGACCTCTTAAACTTGTATAAAGGCAGAAAATATCCTTGTATGGGTGATCTTGTACTGGGTTTTTATAGCTGCTACACTACGTGTTTCAGTCCTTATTCTAACCAGAGAATCAAGTGACAAGTGAACTCTGTACTTAACTTGTAGCTACTTTCTGGAATATTTTTTCCAAGGCTTGACATTTCCCTTCTTGTAAAGCATATCACTCCCCATGCATTAGGCTCTTTTAATTTCAGAACGCTGTCAGGATTGATATTTCATATATCCATCCACATGTGGAATCTTGTCCCACTACTCAAATATTTCTACTCTCCTGCCTTAAACTAGAGATGTTCTATGGAAAAGAAAACATTCTGAGTATCTACAGATGGAATTAGTAATCTCTCTATAATCTTTTAAAACTATATAACTAGTATGCAATTTTGGAATGGAATCAGGAAACTATTATGAAGTGAAAAACCTGTGTAGTCACAACCAGACCCCAGTATTTTTGCTCCAGTACTAGGCCTGTAGTGTAATCTTAACAAGCAGACACTGCTTTAGTCATCTTGCTGTTGCTATGGGATGTTTCAATTGTTAACCTGGAAGCCTAGGCATTCGTGCATACCTGGGCTGTTAAAATGAAAGTCTTGTGTCATTGGGGTTGCTCAGTATATACAACTTCAAACTGTGGTGAGCCAAGTCCTTCCTGCTAGTGCTTACTGATGTCCTCGTGTATTAAGAAGTGGAAGACAGTCTGTGTGGGAACTGTTGAGTCATGGCCTGAATCACTGAACACCTGGGGAAAGGACTGGGTCAGCCCTTGGGAGCACAGGTGAAGGTAATTCAGCTGTGTGACTGGAAGGGGTGGAACCTGGCTGCACCTGATTTAAGGGCTGACTGCCACCAGGAAAGGATCTCTTTCTGGAGATCCCTCCTTGGTGGAGCTTTCTCCTGCAAACTTGGAATATTCTGATACAGGTGATACATCAGCACCTTTCTATTGTGCTGATCATCCTATTGTATTCATCTGCCCTATTGCTACATAGTCCAAAAGTGAGTTAGAGCATCTCCAAAATGTTCTTGTTCAGCTATGCTTTATGCTTTTTGTAAAAAATTAGTAGTAATCGTATTATAATATATTCTAATTCTTCATTTTCAGTGCTTATGTGGGGACTGTATACTCTTCCCGTGTTTCGTTCATGTGCTGTTTTATGTGAACACATTATCCTGAAGAGACAGATCTTTTGCTAGATGCCTGTTTTAACATTTTATGAAATAAAATACAAGGGTTATTAGTGAGGTTGTAATTTTTGTGCTGGAAGATGAAACATTCAATCTTTTTCTGAGGAGGTATTATAAACCAAAGAAAACAAGATAAAAGTAGATAGAATTTTATACTTACAATTCACAAAGTTCTTGCCAAAAGGTGTCACTTCTTTAGTCAACATTCTGCGCCTCAAACTGACAGTAATTAGGATTACTGTAATAAAGGGGACCTTGAAGGATATTAAAATGAAGTCTGTGTTAAAATATGTCTAAGCTTTATGGATCAGACCTAGCACTTAAATATCCATATGGAATGAGGAGAGTCCTGTAATATCTAAAACATCAGCTTAAGAAATGTCGTCTGGGAAAGTAATATGCTTAGATGTTGTGATTTTGGTTTCTATAAGGCAAAATGCTATGAGCAAAGAAACCTGAACTGTTGTTCTGGGAGATGAAACTGCTGAGCTGTCAAAAGTCTTTTTTTTTTTTTTTTTTTTTTTTTTTTTTTGTGTGTGTGTGTGTGTGTGTGTGTGTGTGTTTCCCTGAAATTTCTCTGTATAAAGTACTGGTGAGAATGTTCTCCTGAAACTACTCATTGAATGGGTAGTGAAGGTTTCACAGTCAAGACGTAGCTCCATCACAAGTGAATTATTGAATGCATTATTTTGCATGTTCCTATGGAAGCGATTTAAACCTCATAGAAAGTTTAGCTGTGAATTTGTGCACTGTAGCCCACTGGGAATCCATTTGGTGTGTCCAGCAATGCAAGCTGTGTAGAAGGTTTGGAGCAGTCTAGCTGATGTATCACGTGCTTCTGAAGAAGGCACACTGCATTGCTGCCAGATACTCCAGAGGAGATGAGGCATGTGCTCCCACTAAGGGCCTTGACAAACCTGCTGACTAAAAAAGGGGGAAATGTCCAAGCTGTCAAGTCATGTGATTTCTAGTGGGAGTCTCCTTACAGCTATGCCTTTCTTGAACAGAAATCTATATATTGTATGGTTATTGTTTTAATCATTACTCCTTCTCTTCTAAAGTTCTTCTAATGTCTGGAACCATATGTTTCTCTGTGTACTTAATTTCCTATTAGCATTATCCAGTTGGATGTCTTAGTCTCAAAATGGGGAGGAGGTAGTAAGCAAACTAGTAATATCTTGAATCCACGGCCTTCCTCTTCTAGGAATGAATCAAACATACATATGCGAAAGATGGCATCAAAATAAACGAACATGCTTTCTGCATATTCATTTCTTAGAAGTTGAAAAATATGTCCTTGGATTTTGGTGGGAATTATTTTTTATAAGTATTTTTTCCCAGATACTGTTTAAGTTATTGCTGCACATTTTAAAAAGAGAATGGCAAAGAAGCCTACACCTCTCAAAACCAACTAACCAAACAACCCCATACACTTCCTCCCCATTTGATAATTTAGATTTATTCATACAGTGTGTCTTCTCTAATTGTAGCTACAGGCAGCCAGTTGTCAGTATTTTCTGAAGAGAGGAGGTAAAATTAAAAAAGACTACTAGTTTTACTGCAGCAAGCAAGCTTCAGTTTAGTATCTCTGTGTAGTGGAAATGCTAAGTCATGGCTTGAACCAGTGACCAAGCACCTGGTGAGAAGGCAGGGCCAATCCAGGGGAACTCAGGTGCATGCAATATTCCTGAGAGACTGGGAGGGGTAGAGCCAGGAACTCTCCTTGTCAGAACTCACATAAGTGTTGGCAGTGGGGAGGAGGGTACCTTGTTGGAGATCTGTGCTTACCTGAGGCCTTCTAAAGGTTAGGCAGTTTTATTTCCTTCATTTCTACATCTACAGCTGCTGCATTTGGACTCATCCTCATTTGCTGCAGCCAAAGACTTTGCCACCCCACTATTGTCGCTGTATGTTCTGTGGCATTATAGAATTACACTCTGTCTCAAATAATAACTACTGATTAGATGGATTTCTGTTTATAGTATCTTGAGTAGTTCTGGCTTTTTACTAAAACAGCCTCTTCATGAGGCTGAAGGACCGATTCCAGCTTCCTGTAAAGTTTTAGGTTGTTCATGTTTCAAGACAGAGGAGATAAGTTTGGCTGCATAGCTGCCAAAGATACTAGTGGATACTAGTGGATACTAGTTATGCTTGCTTGGCTGTTTAACTTCACATTACTATGTTAAACAAAGTCCTTGGATCGATCTGTCTCTACTAATGCTTCTAGTAAAGATTGTGGGGGGGAGGAGAGGAATGATTTTAAAACAAAAAACACTACTTGTCTTTGGGAATATGGGCTGTGAAGCCTTGTCTGA